ATTACGTTTCCCATAATCAATGAGCCATGTGTGTTTCTTGTGAGAAAGTTGTGGGAAATATCAGAAAGGAAATTATGTATTTATTTCATTACAGCAGGTCCCCTTATCTGAGGTTTCACTTTCAGAGGTTTCAGTTACCCACTGTTAAGCATGATCTGAAGATACTAAATGAAAAAATTCCAGAAATAAACACTTCCAGACTTTAAATTGGATGCTGCTCTGAGGAGTGTGATGAAATCTTGCGCCATCCAGCCCGGGGTGTGAACCATCCATGTTGCAGATGCCACTGGCCCGTTAGCAGTCACCTTGGTGACCAGATTGATGGTCGCAGCATCACAGTGCTTGCGCTCAAGTCACTCTTATTTTATTATTAATGACTGTTGTTAATCTCTTACTGTGTCTAATTATAAGTTAAACTTTATATAGGAATGTACTTACAGGAAAAATACCAGCACGTACAGGGTTCAGTCCTGTCTACAGTTTCAGGAGTCTACTGGGGGTCTTGAGACACATCTGCGGAGAAGCGGGGACCACTATACTTCTTATAAAAATGATAGCTCTTCAAGGAGCCCTTCAAAACATTCAACTGCTTATTTCCTGTTCTCTGCAAGTGACAATGGCACTGAATGCACAGGGAGAGAGGGTGTGGGGTTTACAGCGGCTGCATGTGTGCAGCTGACATGCACGACACCAACTATGCACGCCAATGGCAACTTAGGTATTCGTTATCAGCTCCAGCACACACATGCCTTCACAATATGCCTGTTCTCTCTTTCTGAGCCCCGCAAACAGCATGCTCTGCTCAGCCTGGGAGTTGCTGTGTCCAGAGCACCCTTTGCTGGGCACTATATACACACGGTGTGAGGTACTGGGGGGAGACACAGCCTAGGAGCTAAACAATAATGCAATGAAAAGACAAACGAAGAACCATAAAATTGAGGTAAAATCAATTTGGAAGAAAGGGCAGGGTTCTGTGAAAAAGAAAAAGGGGTGTATGAACTTCAAGGAATGCTCCTGGAGTGACCCTGAAGCTCAGCCCCAAAGGAGGGGGCTGTGAGGCTGAGGGAGGAAGGCATGTCCCAACCTAGGGGGCAGGGGATGCAGGACAGCAGTAAGGGCAGCCAGGGCAGAGAGGCAGGGCAGGGGACCCTGAGCAGCCAGGAGCCTGATGAGGGATGGGGCGGTATTCAGACGGCAGAGAGAGGCCAGAGAGAGAGAGAGAGCCAGCCACTCAAGCCTTTTGCTTACCTGCTGCCTGAGGCCTCCCTTCCCTGCCACCCAAGTCCTCCACCCCGATTCTGACCTCCATGCATTTTACAGGTCCATGTCGGGCTATCCGCCCCATCCTACCCCAGCACGGGAAGAGGTTTCTGTCGGCTTTCTTTACTGACCTATCCCAGCACTCACAATATGTACCTGGCACACACACAAGATCAATAAATGTGTCGAATGGACAAATCCTCCAATTCCTATGACATGTTCCTTCCACCTTCCAAAATGGAAATGA